TGTTAACTGTTGAAATATCTACTGCCATTCACTACTGGATGTGAAAGGACTTCAGAGCTTAGATCTGATCCATTGCTGCTGGGTTTGCTGAACTATGACTGTTGCATATTTTGTCTGCTCTTTGAAGTGCAAGTAGTCCTATTTTATAGCTTCACCAGATTGACACTTCAATTTTAGAGATGTCAGGTGCTGCTCCTGACAATTTACATTAAACCAGGCTTGATATCTTAGCTTGATGGTAATGGTAGAATGAGAGATAGCTGATCCGTGGGGTTACAGATTATGGCTGAATCTAATTTTACTGCTGCTGATGGCCCATAGCACCACATAGAAGTCTAGTTTTGGGTTGCTACATCTGCTAAAATCTTTAGCATGGTGTTAGAGCCACACAATACAGTGGAAATTATCCTCAATGTGAGAACCAGACTTTGTCTCTACAAGGGCTGTGCAGTAGTCACTCCCACAATACAGCCATGAACAGATACAACCCCAAAAGGTAGATTGGTAAGGATGAGTTCCAGTAGATGTTTCCCTTCAAGTTGGTTCCCTCACTCCTGCTGCACAGTCTAGCACCAACGTCTTTTAAAACTCAGCTTGGTCAGTTACTAGTGGTGCTACCAAGTCAATGTTGTTAATGGACATTGAAGATCCTCGTCCATAGTACTTCCTTTGTCCTTGCCACTTTCACTGCTTCCTCCATATGGTGTTTAACGTGGAAGAGTACTGATTGATCAACTGGGTTGGAGGTGCAGATGTCATGTGCATGGTAATCAGCAAGGTGTTCCCTTGTCCATGTTTGAGCTAATACCATGAGACCTCACAGGATCTGGCGTCAGTGTTGAGGATTCCCAGAGCAACTCTTCCCCGACCGTATGTCATGCTGCCATCACCTTGGTTGATATGACCTGTCCTACTGGCAGGGTCGGTGATTATGGGATCTGGCACATTGTCTGTGAGGAATCATTCTGTGAGAATGATTATGTCAGACTGTTGATTGACTAGTTGTGTGTCAGCTCTCCCAGTTTTGGGACTAGTCCCCTGGTTGTTGGTAAGGACGACTTTGTAGGATCAATAGGCTGTTGCTATTGTTGTTTCTGGTAATGGTTACATGGTTATCATTATGCTAGCTATTTTAATTGCAGATTTTGTTGAACTCAAATTTCACCACTTGCCATGATAAGATGTGAACCCATGTCCCTAGAATATTAGCCTGGGGCTCTGGATTACAAGTCCATTAACATTATCACGATGCAACCATCCCATTCAAGTTGTTTGGAGCCAGCAGTAAAGGGCAAAACTGTAAAGTGCAGCTGACATCGTCTGGGATTGAATGAGGTTGTGAGCTAATTGTCCTGCTGTTGTGTGTGTGTGTGTGTGTGTGTGTGTGTGTGTGTTGTAGGGACTTCTGTTCTTATCACAAAATCCCACCCAAGGTCAACATGATGACAGTAAGATACTGATGACTCAATGTGCTCATCGTTCGATCATTGATGAACAGAAGATGGCATATACATCATGAATGTTTATATTTGTTTCACCAGGATTCTGAGAACTTCCTATCTCTTATCTGTGACTGAGGGGGATGCAAATGCACCACTTATCTCCAGAATCTGATTCTCTGCAACTAAGTATGAATTTATAAAATGCCATATTGACTGACTGTCTATAAAATGTGTGATTTTTGAACAAAATAAAATGTATCAACAAATACAAATTCACCCCATAGATTCACGTGTGTGTGTGTGTGTGTGAGAGAGACAGACACCAGAAGGTGTTGAAGAATGGCCTCATAGGAACAGTATATGATGTTCAACTCATCGATTGTCAGTTCCAATGTGCCACAGTGAAAAACTGTAATGACCTCCTCAGAAGACAGACACAGGATATGACGATACAGTATCCTTCATTGTCCAGTACTTCCTGGGAGCAGAGAAACTATGCCATGTTCTTCGCAGCCTTCAACACCTTATCAATGACGATAAGCACCTCGCCAAGATCTTCCCCATGCCTCCACTTCTAGCCTTCAAACAACCAACAAACCTCACACAGACCATTGTTTGCAGCAAACTACCCAGCCTTCAGGACAACATTGACCACAACACTATACAACCCAGTCATGGTAACGTCTGCAAGACATATCAGATCTTCGATATGGGAACATGGCACATACTCATGTGACTCGGCTAACGTTGTTTATCTCATATGCTGCAGGCAAGGATGCCCCGAGGTGTGGTACATTGGTGAGACCATGCAGATGATATGACAATGGATGAATGGATACCACGCAACAATCGCCAGACAGGAATGTTACCTTCCTGTGGGGGAACACTTCAGTTGTCAAGGACATTCAGCCTTGGACCTTCAGGTAAATGTCCTCCAAGGCAGACTTCGGGATACACAACAATGCAGAGTCACCGATCAGAGGCTGATAGCCAAGTTCAGCACCTATGAGGACAGCCTCAACCGCCACCTTGGGTTCATGTCGCACTGCAGGTGACCCCATCACACTGTACGCTCTCACGCATGCGTACGTACACACACACCCACTCACACAAACACACTCACACACACACACTGTCTCTCTCCCACACGCACACGCACTCTCTCTCCCACACAAACGCACACACGCACACGCACTCTCTCTCCCACTCACACACACATACACATACACACACACAGTCTCTCTCCCACACGCACACACACACTCTCTCCCCTCACACACGCGTGCGTGCACACACACACACACACTCTCTCTCTCTTCCCCCTTCACTCATGCACTCTCTCATCCCCTCCTCACTCATACACACACAAACACACACATACGTGAATCTATGGGGTGAAACTGTAAATGCTGATACATTTTATATTGTTCAAAAAGCACACAATTTATAGACAGTCAGTCAATGCGGTGTTTTATAAATTCCTACTTTAGAAATAAAATCGTCTGACTCCAAACTAAAACACAAACAGATTCTAAACAAGGTCTCACACCTAACATGCATTGTCTGACCTAAAATGTCATCTCTTCTTTACACTGATAAAACCTTTAGTTCTCTCAGGACTGTGACTTGAAAGGAATTCGGGGATTTCAATATACATATTAATCAATTAAAAACTTCTAACTGATTAAAGATTTAACAGCGTCTTAAGTTTGTTTAGTACATCCTCATCAATGGTGTGAACGTTTGATCTTTTACTTATACATTCTGTGTCTGATTCTACCTCTCTCAATAACACCTGGAGAAAGACTGAGGCTCCCGAAAGTTTGGATAATGGACAAATGCAACATTGCCTGGGGTAGCAACCAGTTCTACATGTAAACTGAGGGATTGGGATCATTTACAATTGATAGAGCTGTGAATGATATGGAGCATGTGTGTGCAGATAATATCATCCTGTAACTTCCACATCGAACAAACTCATGCTCTTGAGGTGTGTTTCATTTTGTAACCAGGGACAGTGAGCTGTTGAAGGATCTTGGTGACCTCCTTTATACAGTGGTAGACTATAAGCTGTGAGAAGTTCCATCCTTAATAGGTGTGAAATGTTTTGATGTCGATACAGGCCTGGGTTATGATGATTTTATATATACAAGCAGACTCTATGACTGAATGGTCTATTTCTGCTCCTGAGTAATCAAAGTTTATCTGCCTAATCTTAAAACTAAGGTTGACAGTTAACTGTTCCTGCTGCATCTCCATGCCCAAACATTCAGCACCCTCTCTTCATGTCGGATAAACTGGCATCCCATTTCCAAATCCCGCTTCTTGCATTATAGTTCTGATGAGTATAAGATGAAAATCTTTGACTCTGTGTCACCGTTTAGCAATGTTTAAATTTGCTATATATGTATACATATAGGGATGTCACTAATTCAATATATGGGTTGGGGATAATTTAATATATATGTGGAACAGGGACATATATTTATGTTTTATTGTGTGGGATTAGAATAATTTGATGTATATGTAGGATAAATTAACATAAATATAGCCATGAGGATAATTATATAGGGATAGGATTAACTCTATATAGAGTGGCTAACATAATTTAACATATTTAAAATAATGCAGTTATCATGGTGTAGATAATTCAATATGTCAGGATTAGGGTAATTTAATGCATAAGAACAGAAATGATTCATTACATATAGGAGTGGATGGAAATCAAGATGTAGCTTAGGATGACAACTTAATACAAATAGGATTGGGATAATTTAATATATATAGGGAGAATACATTAATATATACACAAAAATGAAGATAATTCATTGTATGCAGAAAAAGGTTGATTAAATACATTAAGGGGTGGATATAGTTTTATGTATGAACTGGGTTAACTTTATACATATATGTATGTGGTAGGATATCTTAATATGTATAGGGGAGGACTATTTTCGTGTATAAAATGGAGAATAATTCAGTACATGGGGGTGGGGTAACATATGGAAGCCGGAAAATGTATATACATTGTATCTATCAGAACTTGAATAATTAAATATACAGGGATGAGATAATATGTATGAAGTGAGAAAATTTAATATGATGGAGATTATTTCACATATAAGGGGTTGGTATAATTATAAAAATCGAATCGAGTATAATCTAATATATATGGGGCTAGGATAACATATATAAAGGTGATAATATATGTAATTTGATACATAATATGTGATTTCATTTATATAGGGATCGGAAAATTGAATATGTGTTTGGGCTGGGATAATGCGTTAATACATATATATTAGAGCAGAAGTAATTTAATCGGGGATAATTTATTCAGTACGGGCTGGGATAATTCTATATATCGGTGTAAATTTAATACACGCGGGACTAAAACATTTCAGTAGACACGGATCGGTTCATTGTTGGTAATTTGAAGACTTGAGTTAATTTACTTTGGGGGTGGTTTTGAGTAACTGTCAGAATTAAAGGGATTTTCGCTGCTGGCCGACACGTATTGCGGGGACGGCACCTTTAATTAGTTGGGCCGACCCCGGAATATGTTGCAGGCGGTGGTGAGGACTCCATCCGGAGCCGGAGCCAGTGCCAGAGTCAGGCCCGGGCGGCGGCGGCAGCAGCGGTAGCGGCGGCCTGGAGAGGACAGAGTCGTGGGGAGCAGAGCAGCGATCAGCCGCTGGTGAGGAGACAGCCGTCAGATCAGGCACGGTGAATTAGGGAGAGCCAGAGAGAGGACCAAATAGACAGGCACAATATATCAGCTAGAGATAGTGTAACAAGCAGAGAGAAAGGGAGGGAAGGACAGAGACAGAGACAGAGACAGAGACAGATACAGATACAGATACAGATAGAGATAGAGAGTAACAAATAAAAGTAGAGAGGATCAAATGGAGAGACACACTGTAACAAGGATCAAACAGAGAGCGATACAATGTAACATAGGGAGATAGAGGTAGAGAGGATCAAATCGACACTAATAGGAAGATACAGTCATAAAGACACTGTAACAATTAGAGACAATCTTGCAAATAGCGATCATCAAATGGAGAGAGACTTACAAATAAAGATGATCAAACACAGAAATAGTAGGATTCAAATGAGATATTATGTAGCAAATAGAGAGATGCAGGGAATCAAATGGAGAGAGAGGATCAAATAAATGGAGATGATGCTTCAAGTAGAGAGATGATGCATCTTGAAGGAGAAAGGGAGATGGTATACCAAGTAGAGAGATACAGAGAATGAGTGCATAAACTATATTGTAGAGATGATCACACACAGAGAGAAAGAATATATAAAATAGGATCACATAAAGAGAGAGGGTTGATCATTCAAATATATAGAGACGGTGCATCAAATAGAGAGAGACAGAGCCAAAAAGAGATGAGAGGGGATCAAATATATAAGTCTGAATCATATTTGTTTAGAGAGGGGATCAAATAGAGATAAAGAAATAGACAGTGAATTAAAGAGAGAGAGATAGAGAATCAAGTAGACTGAAAGAGTGCATTGTGTTTATATATAAGGAGGGGATCAAATAGAGAGTCCATTATAAAGGGAGATAGTGGATCGTACTTATATAGAGGGAATCGAATATAGAGAGAGCAGCCCACAGAGGGAGGGACAGAATCATACAGAGAGAAGAGGACTAGAGAAAGAGAGAGTTGATTATACAGAGAAAGGAATCAAATAGAAAGCGAGGATCAAAGATAGAGGAAGGATCAAAGAGAGACACATTGGGTCAAATAGAGAGAGCAGACAGAACAAAAAGGGAGAGAGAGGGGGGTCAACGAGAGAGAGAAAGAGAGTGTATGAAATACAGGAAAGTGTGGATGAAATAAAGAGATAGAGAGGGGATGAAAGAGAAAGAGGGGAACAATTAGAGAGAGTCAGAAAGACTGGGGATCAAATAAACAAATATAGTTTGTCACATATATAGAGGGAGGATCAAACAGATTATAGGATTTGGCACCAGATTTAGGCCATTTGGCCCATTGAGTCTGCTCCACCATTTCATCATAGCTGATAGATCTCTTAACCACACTCTCCTGCCTTCGTCCTGTAAACCTTGACCCCTTACCATTCAAGAATCTACCTATTTGTGTCTTAAATACACTCAATGACTTGGCCTCCAAAACCCTCTGCGGGAATGACTTCCACAGATTAACCACCCTCTGGCCGAAGAAATTCCTCCTCATCACAGTTCTAAAGAGTCACTTTGAGACTATGCCCTGAGGTCCTCATCTCTCCTCCAAGTGGAAACATCTTTTCCATGTCCACTTTATCCACGCCCCTCAATATTCTGTAAGTTTTGATGACATCCTCTTCATCCTTATAAACTCTATCAAGACCCAGAATCCTCAACCATTCTTCATATGACAATCCCATCATCCCTGGGGTCATTCTTGTAAACCTCCTCTGGACCTCCTCCAATGCCAGCACATCTTTCCTTAGATACAGGGCCCAAAACTGCTCACAATATTCCAAATGTGGTCAAACTGGTGCCTCATTCAGCCTCAGCAGTACATCTCTGCTCTTACAGTCATAGAGCAGCACAGCACGGAAACAGACACTTTGGACCAGCTCGTCCATGCTATTCATGTACCTATCCAGATGCCTTCTAAATGTTGGAATTACACCAGCTCCTATCACTTCCTCCAATAGCTCATTCCATTCATACACTCTGTGTAAAAAAAAAAAAAAAAAGTGCCCCTTTAAAACCTTTGCCCTCTCACGTTAAACCTATGCCCTCTAGTTTTGGACTCCCCTAACCTGAGAAAATGACCATGACTATTCACCCTATCCATGCCCCTCATGATTTTATAAACATCTATAAGGTCACCCCTCAGCCTCTGATGCTCCAGGGAAAATAGCCCCAGTCTATTTAGCCTCTCCCTATATCTCAAGCCCTCCAACCCCAGCAACATCCTTGTAAATCTTTTTGAACTCTTTCAAGTTTAACAACCTCTTTCCTGTAGGAGGGAGACCAGAATTGAATACAATATTCCAAAAGTGCCCTAATCAAATGTCCTGTACAGCCATAAGATGGCATCCCAACTCCTATACTTAATAAACTGACCAATAAAGGCAAGCATGCCAAACACCTTCTTCATTACCCTGTCTACCTGTGACTCCACTTTCAAGAGACAATGAACCTATACCCCAAGGTCTCTTTGTATCTCGAAGGGTTACTGGACCTGAAACGTTAACTCTGTTTTCTCACCATGTATGTCCCAGACCTGCTGAGTTTTTCCAGCGATTTCTGTTTTTGTTCCTGCTCTTGTATCCTAGCCTTCTTCAAATAAATGCCAACATTGCATTTGCCTTCCTAACTGCGAACTGAACCTGCATGTTAACCTTTAGAGAATCCTGTACTATGACTCCAAAGCCCTTGTGCTTCAGATATTCAATGCATTCCCCCATTTAGAACAGTCTACACCTCTATTCTTCCTGCCAAAGTGCATGACCTTACTTTCCCACAATTCCATCTGCCACTTCTTTGCCCACTGTCCCAGCCTGTCCAAGTCCTTCTGCAGCCTCCCCACTTCCTCAACACTACCTGTCCATCCACCTATCTTTGTAAAAGCTGCAGACTTAGAAACAACGCGCTCAGTTCCTTTGTCCACATTGTTCACGTATAATGTGAATATTTGTGGTCCCAACACAGACCCCTACAGAACCAACCTGAAAAAGATGCCTTTATCTCCACTCTCTACCTTCTGCTGTTCAGCCAATCCTCTATCCATGACAGTACCTTTCCCCTAATACCTAATGGGTTCTTGTCTTATTTAGCAGCCCCCTGTGCAGCACCTTGTCAAAGGCCTTCTGGAAATCCAAATAGATCACATCCACTGGCTCTCCTTTGTCTAACTTGCTTGTTATTGCCCCAAATAATTCTGGCAGATTTGTCAGGCATGACCTCCACTTGATGAAGCTATGCTGACACAGCCCTATTTTGTCTTGCAATTCCAAGTGTTCTGTAATCTCATCGTTAATAATGGACTCTAAAATCTTACCAAAGACCACGATTAGGTTAACCAGCATGTAGTTTCCTGTCTTCTGTCTCTCTCCCTTCTTAAATAGGAGTATTACTGTAACCATTTTCTAGTAGTCTGACATCCTCCCTGATTCCATTGATTTCTGGAAAGTCACCACCAATGCCTCTGCAACCTCCTCAGCATTCTAGGGTGTAATTATAGAATCCCTACAGTGCAGAAAGAGGCCATTCAACCCATCAAAAGTGCAGTGACCCTCCGAAGAGCATCCCACAAAATCCTGTAACCCCATGTTGACCATGGCTAATCCACCTAGCCTGCACATCCCTGGACACTATGGGGCAATTTAGCATGGCCAATCTACTAAAATTTTGGACTTTAGAAGGAAACCAGAGCACCCGGTGGAAACTCACACAATGTGTCGAGAAACTCAACATAGTCACCCAAGGCTAGAATCAAACCCAGTTTCGTCACGCTATGGGGCACGAGTGCTAACCACTGTACCACTGTGCTGACAAATCCATCTGGTCTGGATGACTTCTCAATCTTCACACCTTTCAGATTCCCCAGCATCTTCTCCTTTGTGATGGCCACTACACTCACCCCTGCCTCCTGAATCTCTTGACGTTCTGCTATGTTGCTGGTGTTTTCTACTGTGAAGACTGATGCAAAGTACCTATTTAGTTCCTCCACCATTTCTTTGCTCCCCATTACTACTTCTCCAGCCTCAAATTCCTGCGGTCTAATGTCTGCTGTTGCTTCTGTCTTACCATTTTAGATATCTTAAAAAAAAACTCTTGCAATTTTCTTTTATATTACTAGGTAGCTGACTCTCATATTTCATCATCTCCCCCTTATTGCTTCTTATCCTCTGCTGGTGTTTAGAGGATTGCCAATCCTCTGGCTTCCTAAGAATCTTCATCACATTGTATGCTTTTTCTTTTATGCTGTCCCTCATTTTCCTTGTCAGCTATGGTCACCATGTCCTCCCCTTTAGTATGTTTCTTCTTCTTTGAGATGAATTTCTGCTGTGCCTTGTGAATTATACCCAGAAACTCCAGCTGTTGCTACTCCCCTGTCTTCTCTGCTAGGCTCCCTTCACAATCAACTGTGGCCAGCTCTTTTATTCAATTGTAATACTGTTGCATCTGATTCCCATTTCTCCCTCTCAAAATGTAGGATGAAATCTAGCATACAGCATAGGTCACTGTCCCCTAGGGATTCCTACACCTTAAGCTCCCTAGTCAAGTCTGCCTCATTGCACACTACCAAACCCAGACTTGCCTGTTTCCTCTAACACAAGCTGCTCCAATAAACCATCTCGTAGGCATCCCACAAATTCCTTTTATTGAGATCCACTAGCAGACTTGATTTTCCCAGTCCCCCATATTTATTGTAATAGTGCCTTCCTTATCTGCCTTTTCAATCTCCTGATTTGTTTTCTTCCTCACATCCTTACTACTGCTAGGAAGCCTGCATGTAACTTCCATTTATGTCTTTTTCCCTTTGCAGTTCCTCAGTTTTACTCATGAGAGATAGAGAAGGCGAGGGGAAGAGAGAGACAAAAAGGCAGTGTACCAAAGCAAGAGAGAGCGCGATGGTATGCCAAAGAAAAAGAGACAGTCAGTTATCAAATGTAGAAATACAGAGAATCAAAATGAGGGATAGGGACAAGGTAACAAATTGGGAGATACCATGTCTCAAATAAAGAGAGTGGGACTGAAATTAAGGAGAAAAGAATCCAGAGAACTAGCTGCACAGAGGTACAGGGCAGAGATATTCAGACGAAAAGGTCAGATGCAGTGGAGCATCTGAAGTGTTGTCACACTAAGTACCAAAGGGAAAAGACTAAAGATAGTGAATACCAAAGATTTGTCTCCACTTCTCTGCCTGAAGACACATACAACCCATAGAATTGCGACTGTCACATTGGTTTAGGGCAAGGATGCAGGTTCAGCTCCAGCTAGTAAACTTAACTGTGTAATGTTAGCTTATTCTGAACTAGAATTTAATGTTTTATTTTTGAAATAATCAGGAAATGGGGACTCAAGGACCAGGTAGGAAAAGGATTGCCAACCGGGAACGACTGTCTGCAGAAGATGATGCCCTAAATCTAATTGCCAGAGAGGTAAGGCTGCAGTATAATTACATAACTCTGATCACACAGATTGAATTTCTCTCTCTTTCTCACCATCTGACCCTTTCTTCTCTCCCTTTCTACCTTTTTCTCTCTCCCCTACCTCTCTCACTCACTTTCTTTGCATCTGCTTCCTTCCTGCACTGTTCTCTCACTTGGTCTATCTGTTTGCCTCTGTCTATTTCACTGACTGTGTCTCATTCTCACGTTTTCTCCCCACCCTACTTGACTTTCTGTCTTACTCTCATTGCTTTTCTTGCAATGAGAGTATCTTTCTCCCTACGCGCATCTCTCCTCTTGCCAGAATCTCTCCATGTCTATCTTTCTGTCTTCCCACACCTATATTTTTCAATCTGTCTGTCTTCTCCTTTCTGTGCCTACATCTGGCTCTGTCTCTCCCAACCTGCATTATGCTCTCCTTTTCCTTTCCCATTCTTGCCTGTTTGTTTCTCACTCTTCCTGTCTGTTCCACGCTCTCTCTTTCACCTCCCAATGCTCTCCCAATCACTCTTCCCTGTCTACTGTCTCTCTCTGACACTTGTATCTTCCTGTGCATCTGCCTCTCTACAATCCCCCCACCACCACCACCTCCCCTCCCCCCCACCACCCAACCCCCTGCTTTTTGGCTCTTCTCTCTTTTGTTTGTCTCTTTCTCTTTCCCTCCAGTAATATGTTGTTCTATCTTGAGTGATTGCTTTCATTTTTTTTTGATGTGCGTGAAATGGCAGAAATTGTGAGGATAGTTTGTGTATTTATGTGCAATTTTAGAAGATCTTTGATATGTATCACATAATGAGTTTCAATTCTGCTAACAAGTCTATGGGAATAAAGGGCTATTGACAATGTGGCTACGAGATCATGTAAGGTGGAGACAGCAGAGTGCATTGGTGAACGATTATTTTTCAGACTGGAAGGATGTGTTCAGTGGTATTATCCAGGGATCAGGATTGAGACCAATGCTGTTTTTGATGAAAAGTAATGATTGACATTTGGGTGTTCAGAACACGATTGCCAAGTTTTCAGAAGACACATAAATCAAACAATGAGTCAGATAGATTAGAAAAATTAGCACTGTATGGCTGATTAAATTTAATGCTGAAAATTATGAAATGGTGTCTTTCGGAAGGAAGACTGAGAAAATGCAATTGAAATTGAACAGTACAATTTTTAACAGGGTAGAATCTGAGAGATCTGGGATTCACGTACAAAAATCTTGGAAGGTGGATGTTTCCAAAAAGGCTTTTCAAGTGCATTCAAGATGGTTTACTTTATAAACAGAGGCATCGTGCACAAGGGCTGGGTGATTATGTTAAATCTCTATAAAACACTGGCTCGGGATCAGCTGAAGAACTGGGTGAAATTCTGGGCACTATATTTCAGGAATGATGTGAAGACGTTGGAGAGGGTATTCACAGGTAATTACCAATAACCATGTTAACTTGAGCAGGGGCTATGGAGAGGGCTGAGGAAGCTGTCTAGCACAATTGAACCCACTGCCATCTGAACTGATTATATACCAGAGTGACAGCAGCACTGTTTTGCTTGTGCTGGTGATTAGGGTTTCTATTCTTGATGATTTCCCTGAAATTGATGAAGAGAGAATGTGCGTGTCTTTATGCGCACGTGTTTACACAAGTATGTTTATGTTCACCCATGTACTGTGCGTGTATATGTGTGTGGTGGGAAGAAACAGAGTTGTATTGGATAAGAAATGAATAAATTTGACTTTACCACCCTATTGTCGAATAGCTTGTCCACACAGTTTATTTTGGGTGTACTGAAGTTATCAGTTGGCTCCAATGGATCTGACTTCAACACATTGCGGGGGTGGGGGTGGGGGGAGGGGGGGTTGCGGGGTAGGTGGGAGTAAATGGGAATTTATTCTGCAAATGATGTGTGTCAGCTCGGTGCTGGGACCTTGCTGGCGAAATAAACAGATTTACTGTGTGCCCTGCAATGATCTGTTTCAGGATTCCAGGAATTAATCAATTTTGGCCAGGGGCAGGGGTGATATTGGCAGATGGATTGGGGTTGTGCACTGACTGTCACACGACATGAAATCTCTGCTTTCTCACCAATGTCAACCTAAGGTCTGACAGCTTTTAACATTCCCTGTGTGCCAGGTATATCTTAATCCCCAAGGCAAGTGCCACACATATTTCAAATCATAGAAAGTATCTTGAGTTCCCCTTAGCTCTTGAGTGTCATTTATATATTAGTCCCCAAACCAGGTGTATCACGTAACTATTATTCACCCTGGTTTTGTGTATCATGTACATTTTATTTTTCCAGCAACAGTTAACTATTGCAGTTCACTTGACTTGAGGAAGATGTTGTCAAGGAACTAGTTTCAGGGTTTATAAAATGCCTTTAGGGTCCTTTGATGGGTGAGGTCCCTCACTTAACTTAGTTTGCCTCAAACTAAAGCAATGACTCATGATGCAACTGCATGGGTGAAGGCCGATTGTTCAGAATTGGTGGCGTTACAGAAAGAGTCAGATTGCCCTCATTGTGAGGCAGGTCAGGAACCAGGAAATTACTAACTCCTTACTGGTCTCAGCAAAACTCATGCTACACATGTGGAGGTGTTAATTGTGTTCACAGAGTTCAGTGTGAACACAGTAACCCATACAGGAAGTGCTTGATGCCGGAGAGGGTAGTGGAGTCGGCCTCATTAGGGGCATTTAAGCGGCTATTAGATAGGCATATGGATGATAGTATAAGGTAGGGTTGGAGGTTAGATAGAATTTAGGATTAGGGTAGAAGTTCGGCACAACATAGTAGGCCGAAGGGCCTGTACTGTGCTGTACTGTTCTATGTTCTATGCTTATTTGAAAGCAGTAGACAGTGGTAGCGTGGATTGCATTGCTCATTTGGGATCTTTACCCCACTGGCTAGCTGTCTCCATCTCCTCTCTGTTTCTCTAACTGTCTATCCCTCTAGATCTCTCGATCTCTGTCTGCCCATCTTTCTTTGTCTGTCTGTTTATGTCTTTGGAATCTATTTGTCTTTCAGTCTCTGTTATGTCAATTTAGAAAATGCATTAGGCCTATTTTTATATCTTGGTTGGCCTTCACACTAGTGAGTGCGAATGGGGTGTGTGTCAGTTTGTAAGTAGTGGGGGAGGGACGTGGTCACTAATACTTACTGAGCCCTCTGACTGGGCAGCTAGGGTTGCCAATTCTCCTGGGCACTGCTCTGAGCAATCACAGGAAAATTGTGTTTTCTTTTCACTTTTGTTGAACATTTTTGTTCTAATATTTTCAAATAGCTGGGCATAAGAAATAGGAATTGGAGTAGATAATTCAAACCTTCAAGCCTATTCCATTTCTGTTCCATTATTCAGTAATGGCTTCTCTGTTAACTGTTTCTTCCTGATTATCCCCATATTCCTTAATTTCTTTAGTATCCAAAAATTCATCCTCCTGTCTTGCATGTACAAAACACTGAGCGTCTGCAACTCTCTGCCTTGGAGGATCTTAAAGATTCACAACCTTTTGGAATGAAAATATTTCTTCTCATCTCAGTCCTAAATGGCTGATCCCTTGCCCAAGGACTAGGACACTGTGTTCCCCAGCTGAGGGAAACATTTCCTCAGCATCTATCCTGTTAAACCCATTAAAATTTTATATGTGTCAGTGAGATTGCCTCTAATTCTTCTAAACTTTGAGGAATATAAGTCCAGTCTACTTGATCTCTCTTCATGGGACAGTTCCACCCTCCTAGGAATTAGACTGCTGAAACTTCCAAACTAGAGATGAACATCCATCCTTGGGGAAGGAGACTAAAAATAACACAATGTGCCAGTCCCTAGATAATTGAGCACAATCTTCTTAGTCTTGTATTCCAATCCCTTTGTCATAAAAGCTAATACATCATTCACTTTCTTGATTGCCAGCTCTGGGCTGCACATTAACTTTCTGTGGGTCATGTACAGGGATTCCAGGCTTCTCTGAATACCACACACCTCTCACACTCTATATTTGAAAAATATTCTGTTTTTCTATTTTCCAACTGTTGTGGGTAAACCACAGTTCTCAACATGATATTACATCTGTCATATTCTTGTCCAGTTACCCAATGCTTTGTACCTACTTTGCACTCGCCTTACATTCTTAACCAGTTTTGTCTTACCAGACTCCCTGGATACGTTACATTCAGTTCTCTCTACTAAATCTTAATGTAGATAATCTTAATGAATAAATCAGGCCCAAGTGCTGATCCTTACCACACCCAGCACATACCAACTCAACAATTATCCCTGCTCCTCCTGTCTTCTGTTTTCTGGCCATTAACCACCTGTCAATCCATGTTAATGTACTGCCATCAATCCCAGGAGTTCTAATTTTGTGTAATAACGTCTTCTGGTTGTAACCTCAAACCACTCTTTGACAGGTTTGCCAAACACAATTTTCTTTTTGAAAAACCATGTTGAACCTGCCTAATTATTTAATGGTTTACTAAGTGGCTGTTAACCATGTTCATAACCATAAATTGTAGTATTTGCCCATTGACTATGTCAAGTTAACTGGCCTGATGCTTCCTTGTTTTCTCCCTCCCTCCCTTTTTTGACTGTATATGGTACCTTTCTGTCAGTGGGGATAAATCAAAAATTAAATTAATTCCATAATTTCCAAACCAATGCATGCACAATTTCTGTAGCTGCCTCTTTTAAAACTCTAGAATGTAGGCCATCAGATTCTGGGTATTTTTCAGTTTACAGTCTCATTAATATCTCCAGCACTCTTTCTTTACTTTCATATTTCCTTCAAATGTTTTAATTTCACAAGACTTTTCATTCAGCACTATTTCCAGAATGTGTTTTTTTTTCGCATCTCCTCTTTTGAGGACAAGTCAATTGTTAATCTTTTGGCCATTTCTTATTCCTCACTATAATCTTTCCTGGTCCTGTATCTCCGTACAGAATCTTTCACAAACTGTTTCTATATCTCTTGCTAGTTTTCTGCTTGTACTCTGTTTTCTCTTTTTAA